AACGCTTACACTGTTCTCATCAGAACCCGCGTTCAGTTCTGCGGAAGAACTGATCGGGTTCTGATGAGAACAGTGTAAGCGTTCAAGCAAACCACTTCTGAAGATGCAAGCCACTCGTGCTTGCGAAACGTCAGGAAGAAATTCCATTTCATTCCATTTTAGTTTAGTTTCATGACGAAGAATATGTTTTTACAATTATTGCGAAAATCCGGGTTGTGCAAGATGAAAGCGAACAAAAAATTCCCGAAAATTGCTTATTGAACCACCCTGTATGAAGAAAATCGACTTGTGCTTCCGCTTGCCGCAAATGAATTGTTGAGCGACAGACAAATGACCGGGAGGCGAGGAAGGAACCAGGGGGGCGACTCGTTTTCATCTGGAAATCAACATATCCATTCGCACGATATTTTATAAGCGAGTTGATCGGCACCATCTGGTTCAGGAGCCCCATTTATCAGCGCTGCAGTTTACGACTGGCGGCCATTTAATTTCGGGGTTTATAAATTACTTTCCCCGATGTGTCGTGTTTGTTTGTCTTACGCAGCCGAGGCGTATGTGGGGAACAATCACCGTTTCGCTTGCACTTCAAGTGCACGCAACATGGCGCCCAACACTGTCATGTTGACAGTCGTTTGACAAGCCGCCATTAAAACAGTCAACGCTCAAAGCCGGAAACATAATGCACAAAACGTCTCATTATTAGCTGTCTGCGGATGATATAAAAATACTTCAGCCACTCTGTAAATCACGCAACACGTCGATAAACGTGTCGAAACGAGCGGCTGGTTTCCCACTTTGGCAAACGTGTCGAAAACATCCATCGCTGATCGCAATTTTATTTTTGCTCCTTCCAGTCAAAGACGGCGACGTTTTATGCTGGGCTCAATCAAGCAACAGTGTCCTCGTCAATCGGCGGGCCATTTCCGAACACTCGTAAAGCACTGAACATGCACTGAACACTTTTTATGATCGCGGCAACAGTAAAATCGGGCACTTTATAGTGGGGGCGTGGTCTCCCCTAAAAATGCATCTAACTTATAATTTTGTTTACACTCTTGACTTTTATTGACTCGACTACTAATGTAAGTCCTGTTTACATTTCATTTTATGTGTCTAAACATTCGTTTAACGCGATCGGTTTTACGGCCCGTTTTACGTGTTTTCCTTCGATTTGGGCCAGTTGCATTAATTGTTCAACAATTTCGTAAAAAGCGCTCTTTTCCCTCCGCTCCAGTGCTCCTGCATCTAAACGCAAGACGACAATCGGCCAGTCAAAGGCTCTCAATCTGAGTGCAGTCAATTTTTTCTCGCATCTTGATTTCGAACTGACTCGGCTATCGTTATTTGGCCCACCCTGTTATTCGCGAGTTCAAAACTCCACACGCCCCCAGGTGGCTAACATTATAACTACAAGTTAAGTAGTAATTTGACACTTGCGTTATTGACATTAGTGATTACATCTGATTGCGTATTTGTTTTGTTTGGTTCTAATCAACTTTTGCAAGCTTTTAACCACATAGAAACAGATCGAAAAGTGTCTAAGTATTGTTTCATGTTACAAAAGTAATCAACTCCGATAAAAAAAGCAAAGAAGTCACAACTGTCACTCGACAACGAGTAATTTGACGTTTGACAGCGCCGCCACCGGTAGTTGAACCCGCGAATAATGAATAATGAGCGATGCTGACTGTTGGTTTCCATGCCAACTGCAACTCCCGGCCAATCGCATTGGTCTCTTGGTTTTCAAAAAAATCGAATGACGTCTGCAGGACTGACAGCTAGCTTCATGGCCATAGTTGAAATCGCCACGTTGAAGTTGGAAACGTTCCTGCTTGTCAGAACACCTTTTTGCCTTCCCGTTGCAACAAAACGCATTCTGTCAACGTTTGAAGGAAATCGGACAGCGACACACGAAATGTCAAAACTGCGGTTTGAGGCTAAAAACGCGCGAGTTTGAAAAAGTCTCAAAAACTTTCGTTCTAAACCGACTGGAACTTTTCTTCTCCAATTGCAGCAATGCACACGCGAAGAAACCGAAATATCTTCAGAAGGACCACACAGGAGTAATTAAAATGTGACAAAACTTTCCAAAAAATCGTTGAAGGTTTAATTTCGTAACTTTCGTACGTTGCTTCAAGGGACTGCATAAATGCGATTAAAAACTTGAGACGAGAAACGCCCGAATTAAAAAAAAATAGCAAAACATACCTGAAGGCTGTTTGGAATGCGAAACTGCTCCCTGCATTCTGCATTTCAGAACAAGATTTTCTCTTTCCGTTTCAATGGGGCGCAAATATCCATCAAGCGTCTTTTCTTTCGCAACCCAATCAAATTTTTGAATAAAGATTTCCGATGACTAGTTGTCAAAAAATGCGCAATATTCAGTTCGTTTCCCCAGTGCTGTAATTCTAACATCCTGTTTCTATGACAACCACGTCATCGCCCAACCCCACTGCCACCTATTTACCTCGGCTACGAGGGCTGCGCCAAACGATTTCTTTTCACTTATAATTTCACAAGCGAGAAAAATTTGCCGGGAAATTGTTAGACTAGAGGTTTTGAAAATTTGGCCAAAAAGTAACTGACTTGACAAAAAACAAGAGAAGCATTATGCCTTGAAAAATAACTTAAGCCAAAATTCCTAAATAAGTTAAGGAGCATCGTAAGTGCCAAATAATTAACGTAACAGACTTTCCAGGCTCAGGCAGGAGTTTTGTCACTAGAAAACGGGCTGTTGCTGTGACATTTTGCCAGTGTAGAACGCTCTAGATGGTGAAATCGTCCATATTAGGCACACATTTGGTGGATGCAAAACATATCGCAAGCAGAGCTATTTTCGAACCAAACACTGATTGGCATTCAATAACCATCAATGAGAATGCGAATGCACGCAGATGGGCAAATGTTGCACAAGACCTATAGGTCTTCCAGTTGGCAGCCATCCAGATGGAATGCGGCTCCCAACACTGGAATAGTTCGACTACTACTTAAACAACCCATTGGCATCGCGTCAACATTGCCTACCTGAAGCTGGTGAGTGGGAGCGGCCTGCTGGCCAATCAGGGCCGCTGTCGGCCAGCTGAAGCGGTCTAGGCCCCGCCCACCGCCTCAACGCGCTCGGACTGAGTACGAGCGACGCGCTCAGCCCGCGTTGCCGTCTCTGTTGCTCCTACGGGACGAGTGGGAGGCCGCGTCCAGAGCGGTGGGGGCAGCGGTACCATCCCCCGAAAAACTGGCACATCCAAGACACTGTCATGGCCTACGTTGACAACATGTGTGAAAACTTTCAGTCCGTCAACGGAGTTCATTAAAATCGAGCGGGCCGCGAAAATTCGGCATTTTTCCCCGTTGAATGTGCGTGCGACTGCTGGGATTTTTGTTTTTTTCTCGACGAAAACCGCTTGTCAACCGGGTGATTAGTTTTTCGGCGACGATGCAGCTCGTAAACTGCCCCGTAAAACACCAAAATTAATGGTTACAGATACAGATGATTCGGGTGCGGACAGCGACGATCTCAGAGGTACGTGTGATCAATTGTTAAATATTTACCATTTCTGGGCTTTTAAATGCATTTCAATGAATCGAATAAACGCCCTTTGCGTCGCCAGACCCGAAACTTGCAAGAGAAAAACTGTTAACCGAGTCGAAGACTTTCCCGATCATTTTTACGTCTTTGGAGGTTGGCTCAAAGAAATCGGAGTTGCCGGAGTGCTCACCTAACCCCAGTTGAAAGATTTCCTTCGGAGGCACAGCGGAGAAATTGGGCTGGAGTGTTTCCAGCCCTCCATTACGGGCATTTTCAAACTCAAACTTCCCCCATTTCTCGCTGTAAATTTCCCGATTCGCTCAGACTTCATGTTCGGATAATCAACGACAATTTAATTTTTAACTCGATCAGACGAGCAAAAAGCCACCGAAAACCCCCAGGAGACCGAGCGATTACTTCCTGAACCTCCCTGGTAAAAGTCCGTTTCCAGGACAACCGGCTGCCATCTTGCCACCGCCCTTCACAAACAAACAACGCAAACCTCGTCACCACCTACAGGGTGGCCCGAAAAAAACCGATAAATCAAACAACTGAAAATGAGTCGTCTCCAAATATACTTCCATGGCCGGTTGAACGGTCGCATTAATCAGCCCCTCGGGTTGATTAAATATTTTCAAAGGAGCGCGCGAACAGTCGCCTGTCATCGGCATGTTAATTTCCCGATATCGTCACGTCACTCGCCGATGTGGGCAAAATGATACGGAATTTATAAAATCGAACTTCTCACTCGGTTATCGAGACCGTTTTCTTTGACCGATTTGACGGATACTCGCTGGTTTTGACAGCGCCTGTCACCGTAGTCAATGCAACTGAAACGTCAACTGTCCCCATCCCTGTCTGCGTGTAGTTAACTGGGTACTGAGTATGGAAAAATTGCAGATTTTGCCAATGTCCAGCTGTTGACCATCATCAGGGCAGTGCAGGTCCACGCCAGTGAAGTTAAAGTGCGACGCGTTCAAAATCATGCATCATCAACAATTCGGACATAAGGAGAACAGTGCTGTGGGTGTGGGGGGGCCGATCGACACCACATCAGTGTCGTACCACTCGCAGTTCAGCTACGGGGGCGCCAACGACAACTGGACGTACAACAATCCGACGGTGACGCCAATGAAGCAAATTGAAGGTGAAAATTGTCGAATATTTCCTGAGCCCCCATGCGACGGACGCTTTTCCTTGCGGCTCGCGTAAATCAAGCGGGTCTCATTAGCGCAGCATACAAGCGCATTTGTAACTCACGTTTTGATTTATTTCGGCGTCCAAATGGGAATTTATGGGCGATAAAATTGACGCCAATGACTTACAACCGACTTTCAGGAAATTTCCGAAAATCCCATTTTCAACGTTGGTTCCAGCAGCTTTTCTAAAGATTCTCGCCAAGTTTGGCAACAATTGGCGCAAAAAGATCAAAGGAATTACAAATATTCCGTTCATTCCGTACAAAATTTTTTGTTCGTTTTCAGCTTGCACAACCCGGATTTTCGCAATAATTGTAAAAACATATTCTTCGCAATGAAACTAGTGGGTTTTTCGGGTTTTTAGGCCGTCGTAAAATAGAATTTCTTCTTGACGTTTCGCAAGCACGAGTGGCTTGCATCTTCAGAAGTGGTTTGCTTGAACGCTTACACTGTTCTCATCAGAACCCGC